TGCATTTGCAATGTACCTAAGTTAGTAGTGAAGTTAGTAGCGATCTTGGTTCGCGAAGCAAACCATATAAGATTGCGTAGCAATTTTCGGGGGTTGGCGGGCGTTAGCGAGCAGGGGGCGCAGCCCAAGTACAGAATATTTTTTAAAGTATTAAATACAAGTTTCAAGCAAATTTTATGTTGGAGAAAACAAATATTAAAATTGTCATTACATTTAAGAAAAAATTAAGAATATTTTGTAGGAAATAATAATTAATTTTTTGACAGACACCACAAAATCATTTTCCTTACAGTTTACATATATATAATTTTAAGGTAGGAAATTTAGGTTTTCGTGAATGCTCCAATGTTTTTTCTTTTCTCTTTTGCTTTAAATTGTTTTTTATTTGCTCAGGGAATACAGTAGTCCTTTTTGCAAGCATATATATATAAATAATCATGGAGTTTATACCAGACATCCACACACCTCTGAACTTCAATGGTTCTTCCAGTAATAAATTTTTTGTTTAAAAAAAATTTAAATTATTTTTTAGAATAAAATTTCGTAAATAAAATTTAGAAATAATAACTTGCTATATGTAGCGCTAAAAATTGATAAAACTTATTGAATAATTTCTGCACTATCTTTTTGGTTAAGTAGTTTAGTTCATTGTCAAACATATTAGATACGAATATACAAAATACCATATCAAGACAAAGTTTTGGTGCTGCCATCTTTCTTCAAAGAACTAAACAATTTTTAGTTGATTATAGGCAATTCTAACTAATCTACAAATAAAAGAGCAGCTTTATTATGTAGTTCTATTTACATAATTTAAAAAGTTGTAGGAATGCTTAGACTTCATTGTTCGTAATGCTTTTGACAATTAATTAAAATACATTTAAAAAAGGTGTTTAGTAGATTTATTATATGAATTAATTATAATTGGTTGATTGACTGTGTGCACAATGCTTTCATTTTCAAAGGCATGCCTAAGAATGTAACATTAGGAGCCTTTTCCTTTCAATTACTCTGCGTGTAATAATTGTGTTACTTTTTTTTTATCATTTCACTTTCATACTTTATTTTGCAGGCGAAATTTTTTTTTCTTTATTGAAATTGGGAAGGACAAAAATAGTTACCGGCAAATAAATTTGTTATATAGTTGATATCGCTATCTTGATTGCCCTTTCTACAAAACACAAGTCACACAAACTAATTTCGTGTAAAGCAAAAAATTAACCAACAAAATTTATTTTTAACAGAGACCAAACGAGCTTGCCAAAACTCACAGCTTTCGTTAAGAAATCTGCCATCATTCCTTCCGTTTGAACATATTTAACTTCTATAATTTACCCAGTTATATCCTTAACGAAATGAAGTTTCAAATTTATATGTCTTGTGCTATAAGAGGATTTATTCTACTTAAAAAATCACTTTCAGATTGATTGTCACAAGGAATGATCAGAGCTTTCTTCTACAAACATAGAACCAATTTAGTTCTTCAAAAATATTTAACAACTATATTAATTCTTTAGAGACTCCCGCTAAAAGAAAAAATTCAGATTTACAAGTGGATGAAGCCACTGTTTTTTTGTTTATTGCTTTTCTATAGGATTAAAAAATCTCCTAGCATTACAACTCCTGAAAATTATTTTGCATTTTCAGTATAACCCCACCTTGAATCTGCAAAAGCCTTTAAAAGTCCTGATTTGTTGCTATAATATAATTTTGTATCTTTAGTACCGTTGAGATACCTTAACACTCTTTAAATAAATTGTTTTCAGATTAAACTGCGATTTGTAACTCATAATAAAAGCTAAGTCTGGTCGAGTTCGATTAGCTAAATACAAAAGTTCACTAGTTAATTCTTGATATTTAGTTTGATCGACAATTTCGTTTGAAATAATTGATCCTCACCTTATAAAATTGGTGCTTTTAAATTATTATTGCAATCAATCATACCATGTTTTTGAAATAAATAGTTTATGCACTCAGTTTGAGGTAAAGTTATACCATTTGCATTTCTTATTCGTTTCAATACCAAGGAATTTGCTACTTACATCTTCTTTCATTTCAAATGTTTGAGATAATTTTCCTACTATATTATTTCACATCTGTAAATCAGAATATGTAACTATAATATTATAAGCATAGATTGAAGGGATTTAAACTTAGACTATGTAAACTATCATCTATCAAAAGGTACCTCGAGATAGAATCGAGTTAACATGTCTTATATACTAGTGATTTGGTATTTAATGCTTATAGTGGTAGTTACGCCACATTACTCCCCTTCCAGAATTTTATCTGTGATAGAATTCGATGAACGGATACCACTAGTTGATTCATGCTGTTTATTTATTTATTACATTTTTGCTCATTATATTTTTCTTCATTTTTTTATAGCACTTCGCTAATTTTTTTTTGTTTATTGTTTATTACCGGGAGACTTTATTTACTTCACTGGATCTTTTTTTTCTTTGAGCAGTTAATATTAAGCAAATCAACTGTTTAATGTGGACCACACCCATCACGTTAGCGAGTTCATATCACACGTCCGGGTCACCATTTAGGGGATTTAATTCTTTGACCTTCCACCATGTTTGCGAGTTCATATCACGTCCGCAGGTCACCATTGAAGGGGAATAATTTTTAGACTATGTCAACCTTCATCTATCAAAAGGTACCTCGTGATAGAATCGAGTTAACGTGTCTTATATACTAGTGATTTGGTATTTAATATTTGTAGTGGTAGTTACGCCGCAATATCTCAATGTAATTTCCATCAGGTTGGGGTAATCCTTTAAAATCACGTTTTAACTTACCTACTTTATTTTCGATTTAAGAGTGATCAAACCATGGGGCAATTGACGTATAAACAGTTTCTTCTAACCTACTATACAAATATGCAGTTTTGATATGAAAAAAACTTAACATCTAAATTTAATTTTGCTGATAATGCTAATGATAAATGCAAAGATACAATACTTAATGCAGGTGAATAAGATTCTGAAAATCGCGTTTTTTAATCTGATTAAAACCCACTGCTTCGAACCTGGTTTCTTTCTCTCTCATTGTATATACCTATTAACTTTTAATTATTTTTTACATTTTCAGGTTTATCTGCAATGTTATCTGCATTATCTTGCAATGTTCCAGATAGACCTCTGACTGAAAAATAGTAAAACGCTATCAGATATTTTCGATCCTAGGGCAACACATTTTGTCACTAGTCCTTTGGTTCGAGTGATGTAATCTGTCACGGCTTCCGAATCCAGCATCTCTAAGCTTTTAAGTTCGTTACCAGAGTCAATCTTTCCAGCTTCTTCAAGCCCACGGTAGATCACTCTAATTCTAGTCCATAATGCCTTTGAAATCTTTTCTTCGGCATACTGCAAAGCTTTCTCGTCGGACAGTGATAACTTTAAAGAAACTGCGTCTTGATTCGTAGTCTCCCAAATGGTGAGTTTAGTTAGGTAAGTCGAAGCTTTGTCAGTTAAAGCTGGCCTTAGTCTTTGCAAATTCATAAAAGCTTTCAATTTTCATTGCCCAAAGATGATAACTTGACGATGTCAACTTTGGAATTCCAAATACTTAATCCTTCTACATGATGATTCGTAAACAATCTCTGCTACCAACTGTTTGTTGGTTGAACTTGAGAAAAACCGAAACAGTTGCCGGCAAATTAAGTTTGATTAAAACATAAATTGCAAAGTAAACATCAAGCATACACAATGTAGTAATAACGCATACACAGTGCTTTCTAAGCACATGAAAATGGAACTGACAATACCACCCTCTCCGACATTTGCACAGTTTTTACTAAGTTGCGATTTCCCTATCTTGAAAATCGTAGCCTACATGACGTAAGGAGCGCAACTTACCTAAGAGGAGAGAAAAATAGAGATGGTCGCACATCTACTACAAATATGTTAACTGTCTTTTAGTCAAGAGGTGAAAAAAACCGGCGTTAAAACGCATATTGTAGTTTCTTGTAACCATTATTATTGAGTTAACCGTACAAATTGTACTTAAAAAAATTGAAAATTCAAAAAAATATATATATTTTCGTTTAAATAGTTTCATATGTATTTACAGATTAATCCAAAATAAAACTTTAAAAAAAAAAATAGTTGGTATTTTGCAATTTTATTGAAACATGCATAACATAAATAAAACAACAATTTAATCTTCGCGCATTGATGCATCACTCTAAGCACTCACACATTAAATAAATTATTCCTAAGACTCATCAATCTTTCTGGAACTTTTACCAAACTTCGCACTTTTTCTCAGGATTCATGTTCGATCCAAGGGGGCAGTTGTATGCAGTAGAAAATTCTTTTAAGTTGGACATAGGACCTATCACTCTGGGAAAATAAAATAACATTTAATAATCTTTTAAAACAAAGATAAAATTTTAAGAGTCCTCTTTAAGAAATCTTTGTTCTATAACGAATACACGAAAGTTTCTTATTGATTTAGCAACGACTTATTAATAATTTTAGTTCTTAAAGTTTTGACTGTTATTTTCATAATCGGAATGCAAGTGGTTTTAAATAGTTTTCAATGTTTCTTTGGAAGAATTTTAAAAACACAATATTAAAATTTTGTGACTGCGTTCAAGAACAAATTCCAATAAGGCAAAAATATTCCGAAAAATTACTCAAATGTTTAATAAGTAAGAATATTGCCGGTACCCCTTAGGTACCCACTGGGCAAGTAGAACCCCCCCTTTTTTTTTCTAAAGAGGACTCTTAATAAGCGTTGCACAAGATCGATTAGGTACATAGACAATGAGTATTGAAGAATTTTTAACAATAAAAAAGTAACTATAATTAGAAATAGGAATTAGTAATAATCACCGGCAGTAAGAAAATTCCTTACTGTTTGTTTACTGTTGTTATTTTCAGTTTAAATTTCGATACATTTGAGCATGTGAGATAGTTTGAGTAGCGTTAGATGCATAGAGTTGGATGTTAACTGTCTTTTAGAATAGATGTGAGAAATGAGGAAAATATGATTATAATAGTACACAAACCGTATCACATTTTCCGTGCTAAGTAGTTCAGATTTTTTTTTTTAAATTTTTATATTATGAAAATGAAATTTGGAAAAATTATTTATCATTTATTTTAATAAATAAAATTGTTTTACCGTTAACAAATTTCATTTTAGAATTTTGGTTTAGAATGATGATCTTCTAGAGTTTGGAAAATTTTTTTAAACGTTAAATAAAAAAATCTCACCAGACAAGAAATCGGTCACTCTTAGAGAAAACGAGTAAAGCAGAATTTAATACTGTATAATTACGCCCCTAACCACCTGGATTCAGTTATTGAATGAATCACCAAGTTTTTTTCAAGTACATCACTTTCTGTCACTTGTTGAAGATTTGATTTCGAAAATCTATGATATTGCGGGTATATTGATTTCGGTTTTTTATCCGCTTTTCCAAAACATTCTACAAATTTTTATGGGGCTCAAACCTTGTTGCTTAGCAGGATAATTTAGATTTAATTGGGTGTCTAAAAAACCTATCATATGTTTTGCAAAGCCCAAGTGAACGGTTCTACTATCATCTTGAAAAGAAGAGCTATAACCGATTACCAAAACATCACAGACACTCCTTAGACTGGAGAAAACTAACAATAAAGAAGGATGACAATTTTTTTTCAGCAATCTTATGTCGTTATGTTCTAAACAACAAATTATTATGGATTGGCCAGTTTAGGGGAAATTATACATGTATTCCATTGTAAGAAAAATCTTCATTTACATAAACAAAAACGAATACTTTTTGAGCTAGTCTTTTTGTAGTAATCACTTTTTGAAATTGTTAACTTTTCACGTGAGAGCTTAGGAACTGGGTGAGAGCACACACCCAAAAACATAAAATATTTAACATCACTTGGTATAGACAGAGTCCAGAAAAGTGATGTAGCCACATTTCGATTATAATTTAATCATTATTGAAGCATTTTAATCACATTTCAATCATTATGGCAACATCTTCATTACCTTTTTTAAATAGTTATCAGCTTGTTAACAAGAAATTATTGCAAAAAGAACAATTTCGGAATTATGGATTATTTTGTAATTTTAGAGTTCATGCGATTTTTCCAACTTAGCAATAAGATTTAAGCCTTTCAGAGATTTCAGAGACAGACAGTAAATAATGAAAGAAACCAAGTTTTTTTAACACCCTATGCCAGCAAATCAACCAATGAGCTTGTAATTTGTATCGATTACTTTGGTTTTATTTGCAATTACTGCATACAATTTTATAAGCCTAAGTTAAACATTTACAGAAATATGGAAATGTGTAAAAAAAACAAATTGTTTTTGTGACTTTTTAAAATAAAGCTCAAAATGACCAGGGGTTTTCCACAAATTTTATTTTATAGTATTGCAAATGACAGTAACTTATAAGAGAATAGCAAGTACATTCAATAAAATTTGTTGAAAACCCCTGATCATTTTGAGCTTAATTTTAAAAAGTACAAAAACTACATAGAAAATTGCTCGAAGCTTTCTACGTTTTAAGACATTCAAATGAAACTTCGGTATTAGTTGCCAAATACAATTTACTGCAAAATTACGAAGAAAAAGGAATCAATTTTTTTTGTGCATGAGCAGTACGAAAAGAACGACTTTAAATACTCATATTTTGCGTAGTTTTAAGCGAACTTTTTTCAAGTTTTAAAGCAAAATTTTTGTACTTAATTCAAAATTGCGGTAAAATTTTGTTTAATTTTACTGAATATTTCAAAAAATTATAGCAAGAAACGTAAACCAAAAGGAATAGTTTTTTTTTAGATAATGTCTATATTTCTGGAAATATTTAAGCTGGAATTACGAAAGTTTATGCAATTGTCGCAAATAACAATTAAAGTTAATGATACAAGTTAAAAGTTTACGAAAAGATATTTAAAAATACTATAGTTTTCTTTCGTAATTTATCGTCTGCCTCTCAAACTTTTAAACGCTTTTAAACCTTATTGCAAAGCATTAAAAATCGCACGAATTAAACTCTTAAGTTACAAAATAGTCCTCTGGGTATTTCGTGAAAAATTTTAAAAAAAATCAAAATGTGTCTCTTTTATTATGGTTGGGTAGTGTATTTGAACCGCTTGGCTATTTGCCGACCAATACACTAACAAATCACATGTTGTTTTTATATTCCTTAGTAGTAGTTATTTGTTTAAAAGAAATAAATATTTTACCTAAATTCACCTGGACTATGAGGATCAACTAATACCATCAGTTTCAATTGTTCTGGTCTATATTTTGAGCACCATGCCTAAATGTACAGAAATAGTAGATGAAGATTTAAGCAAATATTTTAAAATTATGCTGAATCAATCATGTTAAGAAGGAATTTTGTTCATAAATAAAAATCAAAACATATTTCATTCAAAATTTTGATCTGTTTTATAATATGTTAACAAATAAAAAATTAACAATAATTTCTAATGTTATAATTATGTAAGCAGACTCACATTAGCTGCACTAATAAAGAAAAGTTGGCTAGGTGTATATCTTAATCCTGGTAATCTTCCTTCAGAGCCGTGATCTTTTACCCAAGAATGATAACCCTGTAGTAAAATTTAAATAGCAATAATAATAAAGAAAAATAATTCATAATCAGTAAGAGTAACAATAATAGTAATAATTAACAAGAATAGCAAGCAGAAGTAATTAAAAGGAATAATATATAAGAATAAAAATTAATATGTAATAAGAATATCAATTAAGATAAATTAATAAGACTAATAAACGAGAAAAACAATTAATAATTTAAATAATTAATGTTAAAAATAATTAAAATATGATAAATAAATATGATTCAATGGAAATTAGAATCAGTAATAATAATAATATTAATAATAACATAATTTTTTCTGAATTGTGTGAAATCATTATGATAAACATACCGATCTTATTGAAAATCGTTAGCAACTAAGTTGTTGATTTCGACTTTCAATTACTTATTACTTTTATCTGTATTTAATGATTTTTAATTAACTCATTTATTAGTTAAATGAACTTAGTTTCTACTTTTAAAATTGTATACATTATTATAGTGATTCGCATCAAGTCACTTTATGTCTCAAAATAAAATTATGGAAGATTGAAGACGAAAATAAAACTGGTATATCATATCGATAAATTTTCCCGCCTTACCCGATAAGCTTCCTTTATTCCTCCATTGTCTGCAATGTTCTCACCTTGAGTGTTGATTCCATTTACCTAAACAGAGGTTTTAATGTTAGGTATAAAATATATTTAAGCACGTTAGTAAATGCAATGTATCAAGCAGAGTATTAGTTTCAAAGTAAATGTTGAACAGGTTAAATCTAAACTCCAAAAAGTTTTGTTTCCTTGATTATGTGTAAATCTGTTTAATTTCTTTAACAAGCTTGTAAGAATAATATAAGGACTTATGGCCAGTCCCTGACTGCGTGTTTGATACCTTGGGGGAATTCCTAATGGGTCGTTTCACTTTCTGTTTTTGAAAAAAATTGGGTTTGTTCAGGAGAAATTGTAATGGAGCAACAAGGAATTATAAACATTTCAATGATTACGTACTTCATTGTGTATCATTAAAGGGTTACATATCTATCATAGAATATATTATAGGTCAATTAACATTATCTTACATAGTTTTACAATGGTTTGAGAGGCTTTGGGTTTAACTGGTAGGGTCTGGCTTCTCCAAAACTCCCTAGCTGTTTTTCAATCCCAGTCCAAGGCCTGTTTGGCTTATTGGACCTANAAAACTCCCTGACGCTTTGGGTTTAACTGGTAGGGCTATGACTTCTCCAAAACTCCCTGACGCTTTGGGTTTAACTGGTAGGGTCTGGCTTCTCCAAAACTCCCTAGCTGTTTTTCAATCCCAGTCCAAGGCCTGTTTGGCTTATTGGACCTAATATTTTCGTGAATACTTTAACTTTTTCTATACTTTAACATATCCAAACTTTTTTGAGAATTCAACCCGGATTGTGAATATATATCTAAGATATTGAGTTATATCATCAAACTAATAATTAAATTGAACGATGCTTTCATTGAAGTTGAAAACTTTATCATGAAATTAGGAAGGATCAAATCGCATTATCTAGTTCGATTTATTTCCCCAGCAAGATTGAAGGAAATTTACATGGGGGTTATAATGATCAAAATTTTTGACATCAGGAAAGTAAGAAACCCCTTGGAGTGTATTTTACAAATGCTGTTTCCTAAACGATTCAAAAAAATTTTTTTTTGCCTGTCTCCAAAGCAATTATTTGTACTGATCCAAAAATTATTTATACAGCTAACTTGCGCGTTGATTTTGATTCCATCAATACTTACACTTGTGTTGACCAATATTGTATTTAATTAGAAATAATACCTTCAGACCGATTTCGGTAGTGTAATTTCCATATTGATGAATGATGCATTTGGCCTTTTCTTTAAAGTTATCATCAGTTTTCTGATCCCACCAGTTTCTGTTGTTTCCGTCTTTGTCAAACTGCTTACCTGTATCAAAATAAATAATATATTTTATACAAAGTTATTTTCAAAAATATGATGATGCCAATATTATATTAGTGATTCAATTACCCATATCATCAAAACCATGTGTTATTTCATGTCCAATAGCAAACCCGATTCCTCCATAATTCATGTAGCTGAAAATAAGAAAAAGTTTTAAAATAAATTATGAGAATGTTTCTTACTTGAACGCAATTTGTTAATGTAACTAACGTAATTGTTTAGATGATTTAATACACCACAGTGCATATATTCATTATTATTTTGTTTTTCGAATGTCTCTGAGTTATCGTAACTTCTTGCTCATTATCCGCAGTGATATATGTCCTGCAGGTGGTAATTTTGGCAGTGGAGAAATGAAACTTATTGCACATTCTGCACCACTGTATTATACGGCAGTTCGTTTAATTCAGGGGAAATAACATTGAATTCGAAAGCCTTGGAAAAATCTACATCATGTGTGAGCGAATCTGCATCATATATTTGAACTAATAGGCAAAGAAACGGGCTAGTAGACGCATGATCACGTTTCAGAGGAATTCACACTGGATATGAACGAAAACCTGATTAGCTTAATTCATATTTTACTATTAAAGTTCTCGTTCGCATCACACGATAGAAAGTTCGCGATGCCTGAAACCAAGAAAATAACTAGCTTTTAACACTCCTATTTTTAACAGGTAATACGCGGATTTTACGCAGAAAACTATGAAAAAAAAATATATAATTTAAAATTAATTTAGACGCATTGAATTATTTTTTAAGTATAAGAGTTTGAAATTTTTAGAGTTCAAAATTGTATAATTTTGTATTAACATTGTGCTTCACTTAAAGTTCATTCCGCGCGTTGATTGCCCCATTTTAAAATCTTCCTCTTTCGTGAGAACAAAAGAAATTTTTTCCTGATTAAAACATCTGTCCTTTCGAATTCAGACTTGTTTTGTTAATTATATATTGATTAACAATTAAAAACTTCATTTTAAGAGAAATTGTCTTGTGTAAGAAGAAGTTGTCTTGTGTCTTGAAATAAGAAGGAATGTTTTATTCCATTTAAGAAATATGAACACTCTTCATCAACGAAACCCCGATTTTTGCTCCGTCTTTCGAAGCGAACTAATTGCAATCGACAGGGGACTAGAGAAAATCTTGAGTGAAGGGCACCTTGGAAATACTTGGATACTATCTGACAGCCGTAGTTCAATTCAACACCTCAAAAATTGGGCCCTCATTGGAGATAAAACCAGTTTTTCGATCTTACAAAAAGTAAAGCTCATTTCCCAACAGCATGAGGTCCACTTTCAATGGATCCCGTCCCACGTCGATATCCACGGCAACGAGTTGGCTGACACTCTTGCAAAGAAGGGACTAGACCATCCAGTCCCCTCCACCTCAGAGCTTACATACCTTGAACTTTTTGCAAGGCAAAAGGCCCAGAACAAACAAAAGTGGCTGCTTCCACCTATTCACTACTGGTATAAAGCAAAAAGACCAGGACTCTCTCTATCTCTCCCTGGTGACAGGCAAACCAACACCTGCTTATCCCGACTGGCCAGTGGACACCTGAAAAGTCTCACATTTTCTGCAAATCAAAAGATCTTTCCTCTTTGCCCTAAATGCCAACAAAACCAGGCATCACCTGAGCACATCTTGATCTGTTTAGGGCTGGACTGGAACGATATTCATTCCTCTCCCATTCTGGTTTCGGATTTTCTCAATGTCAACGGATTCATTGATCTGGTCTGACCCCGTCAGACCAGATGGGAATTAGCAACAACAACAACAAGAAATATGAAACTCTGAAGTCGTTTTTCTAGGAAACTACTAAATCTATTTAAAGCAAACAAACAAATCCTTTTATTTCTCTAGTTACAGTGGAAAGTTTTCGAATTAAAGATAAAATCCACCGTAAAAATATTTTGGATGGTTAGATGATTCTCTTAGGTTGACAATGATTACTGAATATTGGTTCAATAGCTTTTTTAAAAAAAAGAAAAGAAAGGTATTTTAACATGGGCCGAATTTTCAAGGTTTTTTCTTAAATGACTAATGTAATGCAGTTTATTTTTTCGGGATTTACAAATTTCTTTAAGCATGGCATTTTATAACTAAATTGATATTTTAATAATATCAGTAATAATAATATATTATATAGTAGTAATAATTGGTAGATAGGAACTATAATAATAGGTATTTTATTTTATTTAGTATGAAAAATCTTTCTTTCATTGAATCTTCAAAAAAGAACTGCATTATATAAACTTTTAAAACAATTTTATTTATAATTTAATTACTTTTATACTGGAAGTTAATTACATAGACGGAATCTAAATTATCGGAATTACCAAAACTAGTTATCGAATCTTTTTGACTAATAAAAGAAAGTACTAATTTTTCTAAAATTATTTAATAAAACTTCCTAACTTTCTCTATTTTTAGATGCTATTATTTACATAGTCCTTTAGATAATACTTACCATGTTTAACTTATAATTTACTTACTTTGAAAATTTCAAACTCAAAATGTGTTTAGATTCTATGAATGAATAATTTTTAATGTTTATAGAAATAATGATACTCATAGAAAAGAAATTCTTTATCATGTTTTACTTCAATTTTTTATAGCAAAAGCACTTGACTATATATTATTGGTCAGCATGTGCCAAAGAGCAATATATTCGCTATACATATCGTTTTCTAAGTCATTTGCGAATATTTTGCCCATTAAGATTTCCAACGACGATCACTAAGATTACATTCTACTAAAAATAACTCAAAATTATAACAAATTATTACGAATTTATTTCTTTAACATGTATTATACTTTTACATACATAAACTTACGTATATTTATGGTAAATGTAATCTTTTATTATAACTGGCCTTTAACTTTAGAGGACTTAGACATTTTTATGGCATTTTCCCTCTAATTTCGTACATTATATATTTCACTTTTATTACTGGAAATTCGAATCAAAAATACAACTTTTAAATACATTGCAAAACGAAGAATAAAAATGTCTGGTTTGATATTTAAATAACATAATGTAAGTTAAAATTAACCTTTGTTACTTACTTTGGTCTATCATTACTGAAAAACACATTTTGCAATATTCCTGCAGGGAATTCTGAAGGAAAGACATTAGACAATGAGCAAAAAGAAACTTGTTAAAATTAAAAATAAAAATGCTTTAAACTTAGATAGTATTCAATCTTTAAGTACTTATAAGTAGGCATGCATAAAAGACACAGTCAAAATAACATAATTTTTTCAGTAAAACAGGTTTATTAGAGGAAAATTGCCAATGAAATTTATAACATAATAAACCGTGATACCATGAAGGGATTAACTGTGAACCACGATACCGTGAGAAAACCAAGCATATATTTATAAATTGTATTTAGACAGTGATACCAAACATCAAAAACAATTGCATCTGCACCACAACAGCACATCTTGTCTCACAGCTATTTCAATAAATGTTTCTTTGTTCAGTAAATCCATTCCTGTGGATCCTCATCCAGACCTTACTCCCTGAATTGAGTGAATTGTGATTTTTTCCTCTGCTCGCGATGATTGATACTTCATTTCAAGGGACATTATTTTGGGGCACTAAAAATATGCAAAAGGCTGTAACCAATCAAAGGAAGATTCCTCCATTGCAGTTAATGAAAAGGAGCCCACTGCCGCCGTGATTCCTAAAGTTGTATCCGTTTTACCAACGAAAGTCCCTGAGGTTGAGGATACATCGGCAACACCGTGACTAGTCAAGAAAAATAAATTACCAACACGCCAAAATACCAACAACCAAAAGCCCAACACGGAAAAAAAGGAACAGAGCACACCGGCTGATTCTGACTTAAAGCCAACCGGCAGCAAACCAGCCATCAAAGACTTTCCTGCCTCCAGTCGTTGAGCTAGATCCAATGGAAGTGGATACTCTCAAAAGATTTTTAAAATCTTACAAAAGCGGTCTTCCAGCTGACACAAAGACAGAATAGATTTCCATGGAATTAGCAAAGTTCCGTATCGAAATTTCCAAAGTCATCTAGTTCAAGCATCGAGTTTGCAGAACCTACGATATCCTCCCAGAATTGCTCATCATCATCATGGGCACTACCTAAGACCCAATCAGTACCCACCTACGTCATCTCATATGCTGTCCAATCCGAATTGAAAGATTCAAGGGAGGACGTTTCCAGATTCAATGCCACCGCTGTCAAGGATTTGGCCATGTTCAGACTACCTGCAGAAACATACCGAAGTGTGTGAAGTACGCCAACTTTCATCTCTCCTTTGAATACTCCAGAGATGAGACTTGACCACCCAAGTGCAGCAACTGCTTAGGTAAACATACCGCCAACAACTTGGGATGCAAATTCCGATCCAATAGGAAGCGGCCAACCACAGTGAAGCAGTTTTCAGTCTCTACCACACTGAAACAGAGTCTTATGGAGTTTTTCTTAGAAATAAAAAAGCTTCTCAAGATGCCCGAGATCCATCAGCTGTTTCGGACTCTAATTTAAAATGAACTACCACGAACGAACATCTAACCTCTGCCCTATTCCCACTTCAAAGTTAACATCGTCTCCTTCAACACAGATGAATCGATTAGTACCGTTTTCGGTGGCAGATGCTGAGATCTTGCATACTTTGTAAACTCATAAGAGGAAGACTATTCCAGTAGTCAAGTTTCAGCACTGCTAAGGAACAGAAGAAGAGTCTCAAACGTTGCGTGGCGTCTCAAGAGAATTCCGAGGTAAACAATGTTGAATTATAATGAAAGTTGATGACAGATCAGAATTTGTTGATGGCAGTGTAGAAATGAAAACGGGACGAGATGAAAAAAAATAGCATAGGTTATTACGTTCTCTTTTAACAATTTTCATCAGTGCGCATGTATGTGAGCCCTACAATATAAAAACAAATATTTTTTTTCTCCCAAAATTAGATTCTTTAAGTTCTATAAACTTTAATTTTTCAGCCAAATCTGTTAATTCTCTTTCAATTGAAAATTGAATTTAAAGCAATGTCATTTACTGCTTAATGCTACTTCCAAAAAAGTACGCCATGATTAATTTCTTTGAAGAAGCTTTAAATAAACATTAATTAACTTACACAATATATATTTTTTTGAATAAATGCACTGCAAACTGAAATAAAGCATGAAACTTAGGTGGTTTTTCTACTTAGAACAACAAAAAACCACTATTTTCGTGTCAATAAAAGAGCAATTAAAATTTCGTTTTTAATTTGAGTACAACTTAAAATTAAATATATGTTTCACTACAAATGCTTAACTTATGGTTCTTTTTAAGATATGCACCCAAAATTCCTAATACTCTGGAAGGAGAGTTTATTTTTATTGTAATATTTCGGCAAATAGATATGCCGAATATCGATATTTGACTATAAACGTGTAAAAATAAAATTTAAAACATTTATGGTAGCAAACATACAATAAAGCTTTGTTAATCTACACATTTAATGATTAAATATTTCCAATAATTTTTATTTAAATAAAAAGAATAACAAAACAAACTTTTCCTATGCAATTGCACAGATTTAATTGATTTTGAATATTCACATGAATATATGGAAAAATACTCATGTTATTAGAAATAAAGTGTTATAAAGCTGTAAATTCAATGAATGAATTAGAAAATTTTTATTCTTTGAATTAATTTTATTGATTATCACTCAGTTAAAGAATCTTACTTTTTCCTTTTCACGAAATAAACTTAGATTGAGCCTATTTCGAATGCACACATGTATTAAAAAAGGGTAAAAGTATTCATGACTGAAAAAAATATAATAATTTTCATTACGCTAGGAATTTAATAAATTGATGTAAATATTTAATAATAAATTTTCACTAAGATAAAAAGAAATATGGAATAAGCATTACCTATGCTATTTTCTATGGGGTTATAAAATGCGTTGACTACCGCTGCGCCTGCATGATCCTTCCAGCTGTTGAAAGTCAAATTCTGGTTTAGATTCTTGGTCAGAATTGAAAATCACGATATGGTACATTTATTTGAAATTTCAGAGTTTTATTTATGAAAATGAAATGAAACAATGTAGTAAATATAAATTTTTAAATAAATTTATTTTCTTTCGAAAGGAAAAGTGGAATAAAACTGGTTAAACTGGGTTGTTGGCTTATTGATAAATAGCTTTTTGAATTAGAATTTGCGAAAATAAAAATATTCATTGCTCATCTATGTTTAAATTATTTCTGCATAAAGATTTGGTAAGCAAACGAAATTTGGTTTATAGAGGCCGAGAATTTAATAACGAAGTGGCTTTGATTTATTCGTGTCTAGTAATGCAAACTACATCAACTATTCGCTTGAAACCGGCACTAATTATGCTGCCATTAATTTACTCAATTTTTTTCCTCATATCCATCAAGAAAATTTAATACTGATTCAATTGATGTGTTTTCATAGTTAAATAATTTAGGAAAGTTGATCTATTTTTAATACTCACCAGCTGCAGACAGCTAAAGAGATGTAATATTTTGAAACGTTGTTTTAAAAAGTAAAGCTTTTTTGAATCGATAGCTTTAAACTATTTCTCTGCTTTAGAATTTTCTAGTTATTACTATTATTACCTTACACAATACAAAAATTCCTGTATATCTTTCATTAAAACATAACTTAACTTTTTCGATATTGTAACTTTAAAATAATAATCTTTCTTTAAAATACATAAACAGTTTTTGAAATGTTGTAGATATTAACTTGAGTTGTGTTAGGTGTTAATAGTTTTAGTAGATATTCCCAATAAAAATATTAGCTACCGTAAACCGGGGCGAGTCTACCCATTTTTTCAGTTTGTCAACTTTCAAGTGGTCAAACTTTTGTAAATATTAAAGAAAAAAGGCTTTGAATAGGTGTTTCGGANTTACGGTAGTACTAAAAAAAAAAAAGAAAAAAGAAAGAAACAGCATTACAAAGGATCCCGCACAAATCGTATGAAAATTAATTCTCTGTCAAGTTGGCTGAAAATTTAATATATTGTAGCTCATAACAATATGATCCAAAGTTGTCATTCATTAAATCCAAAAATTGATAGTTTCTGAGATATGAAGTCTCAAAAATAAGTAGTGATTCTCAATAACCATCACTGCGCTAGCATTAACCAAATGTACGGAATGCGGAGGTTGTTAGATCTGATTTATAAACATGTTATACTCTTTATAAGGGCTGGCTGTTCAAACAAAAAGATACTTTGACAAATGTAAATAATTGATGACTAGTTATGTATAAACATAACTAGTCATTAATTATTTGAATATCATTCAGATTTTATTGGGGAGGTTGATTGGTTGCATCAAAGCCTTATAAACAGTTAAGCATCGGTCGAAAACTTGAAGTGCTTTTAAACCGCTTGCGTATTGGCCACACACGAATAACTCATAAACACCTTTTTCTAAACGAACCAGAACCAGAATGCACAAATTGTAAAGAACCTTTAACTGTTATACACATTTTGATCGAATGCAGTAAATTTAAAAACCAGAGATTGCGTTATTTTTGTACCTTCCATCCGTCATTGTTTTCACTAATTGGATATGATCCTCACTCTAACATTTTCTCGGCATTTATACATCTATCTAGTTTTTAAACCAAAACAGAATTATGAACCTAGCTGTAAAATATCTACCTGGAGGCGCGATATAGCCAAGACTGGCTCTTGCGCCAAAAACCCAAACAACCAACCAACCAGCATCAAACGTACATTCTATTAACTTCATAGATGGATACTTGATGTAATATCTATGTCTTGCATATCCTGAAAACCATATAACACTCACATAAAACCATAAACCATATAATGTGTGCGAAAATACCGAATTTCCAATGGAGCGCGCAAGGGCGTGCTTCAAGGACTTCTCACCACAATGGCATCTCTTACGTTTGAGATGTTCCTCTTATGTATCACCTTTTATGCATCATCTCTTATGCATCATCTCTTATGTCTAAATCTCTTGTCTTTGAGGCTCCGAAATGCTAGCTTTTGTCAATAAGAGCTTTTGCTCATTCTATATTAAATTTTCAGCTAATTTAACTGAGAATTAATTTCTATAAGATTTGTGTTGGATCCCTTGGAAAATTTAAATGTACATGTAAAATAGAGTGGCTTATACAATATTTCAAATAATAATTATATTACCACAAGCTGGAATGAAACAAATTATAAAAAATATTTTCTAAATGGTTTAGTTTTATTAAATATAAAAATTTTTTCAAACGTTAAGCACATTTCAATATATAATTATTTACATACATAATAACGAATTAGCCATACATCACATGTTGTAGCCTAATTATGTAATTTTATTCAAATAAAAGTTGGAAATGCTATACTTACTCTCCCTTTATATTTGGCTTTCTCAATTTAGAAAAATAATAATTAGTGGTCCACTTTCTAATGTTCAAATTGTTCATGAAATAATTTTCGCTTGTAATTGTCAACTGAAAAATAAAATTTCAAGATTAAAAATTTACATTTTTTTATCATGAATTTACAGTTACGTATTTTTACTCACATTCTCATAAAGTTGAGATACCAGGGAATCATCCAATAATTCTTGAGGATACCCGACGTAAGAAGCGATAGCATTTGCCTGTAAAAACAGATCAGTAATTTTTAAAAAAAAATGCATGCTAGAATAAACACAAACCTTACATTGCAGATAAAAAAATTAATTGTTATAAACTTCATTTCTAAATGAATTATTATGAGTGTTAGGAATTTAAAAGTTTTTTAAAAAAAATCTGTTAGATTTCCTGAATTATATTTCTTCTAAAATATAAAATCAAGGAAGAAAAGTTTTGTTTTTCATTTCTATTCAAAAATTAATCAATAATTGAATCTGTAAATTAAAGAAATTTCAATGATGAATATCTGTTACCCTTAGATCTAAATAACTGCAAATAAGTGAAAATTGGAAAAGTTATTGTTTGGGAGTGAGCCGTGTTTGGAAGATTTTACCTTTAACATAGAAAAAGGCACCGGTGTTTCAAGCTGTATTTCATAGCTGAAAACTATTAAAATGCTGTATATAATATAATATTTTTCACTTATTTCGATCTGAATTAATACAAAATATTTAATGAAAAAAGTATGAAAAATCTGTTTAATAAAAGTTCTGTATCAAATAATTATTGCAATTTATTTAAAAAAAAACTCGAAGTTTACAACTTTTAGAGTTGAGTGATGAGCAGTAAATTAAAAACAGAAAATAGTGTTTTTGAACACCCTATACCAAAAAAAGAAAATGTAGCAATAAATTACTTTGGTAACAATTACTTTGGTAATTATATCCAATAATTTCACTTAATTTCGTAAGAAAAGCTTAAATATTTATAAAGATATCGGCATTCTTTTTTAAAAATAATTTTTTTGTCTTTCGTGTTTTTGTCTCGTGCTATAATTTCAAAAATATTCAATAAAATTAAAACGAAATTTTTAGAGCAATTTAAAGTTAATTAAAAAATTTTTGATTTTAAATTTGAAAAAAAAATTCGTTTAAAACTATGCAATAAGTAATGTAAGCAATTCTTTTATACTGCGCATGCGCGGAAATATTTCGCTTTTTTTTTCTGTTCTGTAGTGAATCGTATTTGGCAATAATAAAAAAAGTACAATTTGAATTTCTTAAAATTTTAAAAAGTTTCAAACAATTTTCTAAACAATTTTTGTACTTTTTTAAAAGAAATTCAAAATGATACGGATTTTTGGGCGAATGTTTTTTTTTTGTATCATAAGACAAAATTAAATAACAAATGATTGTACCTTACAACAAACACCGAAACATAATTGCATGAGAAAAAAAAGCAAGACAAAGTAAAAATACTCTTGTGGGAGATCATCCCCAACAATGCCGGTGTAATTTTTAATTAATCTTGTTTAATGGTGCAAAATAATTTTGTGGAAAGCCCCTCATTATTTGAGCATTCTTTTAAAAAGTAAGAATTACTTTAATATTAAAAGTATTAATTAGTTGCCAAATACATTTCACTACAAAATGAAAAGAAAATTTGAATTTTTCCCTTTCATGCGTAGTATAAACGAGCTACTTTAGTTACTCATATCTTGCGCTGTTTTAAACAAATTTTTCTCAAGCTATAATTTCAAAGCTATAATTTAAAAATTAATTTTAAATTTCACCAATTTTTTTTTTAAATTTTATTGACTATTTTAACAAAAATATTTACCAAGTTATAGTAAAAAAAGTAAGACAAAAAAAATTAGTTTTCTATAAAAATGGCCATATATCTTCATTGAATATATCTCCACTGCAGAGAATTTGCTATAAATATTACTGTAAAAATTATGGTATATCTCATTTTTTGTTCCGTAAGTTTTCACGGTGAAACAATACCAGCACCCTAGTTACCAGTACATTTTACCAGAATTTGATCCTAAATTTTTTACAGCGCAGCTATGTAAGGGTAGATAGTTAAGCGAGGAAATTTAATGACATTAATTTCAAAAGTTTAGAAAATTACATACCTTCTCTATAGCTTGTCTCCTGGTTTCTTCATCCATCCAATCAATTTGTTTGAGAATCTCTAAAAATGCATTGCTAATATATTTCACCATCTCCGAAGCCTAAAATAAAATTTTTAATACTGAATGAAGCCTTGTTACATCAACTATATCAGCAATTTTCCAGGGACAAATTTGAACCAAATTATAAATTCGCAAAAATAATTTTCTTTCTGTATAAATTATTTTTAAAAATTAATTTCTGTTTTATTTTAGCAGTGACTATGCGCCTCAAACGTGTAAAACTTTTTACTTTTAATTTCGCTTCTAAACTTGTTTTTTCAATATTGGGATTTAAATTCTTTTGTTTCATTATAAATCAATACAATTATGGCCAAACAGATGGCTTAGATTCATCGTGGGTGGAATTATTTTAGAATTTACTCATCGGGATACTACAAAGGCCATAAGTTCTGTTTCATTCATTACAGGAATTGCAAATGCCGATTTTAAACGTCTAGTTTCTGCCACACTAGATGGCAGCACCGAGACTCTATTTGGATGCTAAAGTGCACTAGAAATTTAATTTTGCCGGAAATTCCAATAGCCAATAAGGCATTCCAGGGATCTTTTACATGCCGCATAATCATACGACATGGCCGCTGAGGATTTTCTGCATCCCGAAAATCCGGTGTCTGGGCCGGGGATCGAACCCGCAGACTTGGGCTCAGAAGACTGACGACAAACCAACTGTGCCACCCAGCCACATATAAACGAATGTAAATTCATAGATATTCCACTTTATCAACTTTAGTTATGAGTAGACTCTGTATTAAATAGTCATAGTTCATTAAAATAATTTACTTTTAGTGCTTGTTGTTAAAACTATTGAATAAGTAAGCGATTAACTGTCCCAAAACCGGGATACGTATTTGTCACTAAATCATTTGCATTATATGAAAAATTTATGAAAATTACTTAAGCAAAATGAATGCTAGAATCAAGATTGATACTTGTTTATTATTAGAATTATTTATTACCTTATATGCATAAACTCTTATATAAATATTGAAATGCAATAAATAAGTTTATTTAGTTTTAAATGTAAAAAATACTCTTAAGATACATTTTCTTATTCCTATGTTTGTAATGAAGAAAAATAATTATCATAAGTCCTTTGAATTCCGAATATAAAATTTTCCCTTAACATAAATTATAACTAAAATATAATACACTTAACCTTACAACTGCAAATGAAACTTATTTTAAGATAAACATATTTCTTTATTTTCGTACCTTTTGTTTGCTGTCGCCTTTGAAATAATGCTTTATGTAATATGAACTTAAAGCTATTTCAAGATTTTCACTTAAGGAGTTCACGCATTGTTCCCACCGGGGTTTTTCTTCACGTTCCCCTGTGATTGCTAAAACGTATTCTTGTACCAGAGCTTTCCAATCTTTGGACAACATTCCTGCGGAATCTGCAACAACTCTCCACATCATATAGTTTGCAACGATTCTAGATGGAAAAAAAATACTTTGTTAATGAAAGCTTGATGAGGCTCAATGCATGCTTACGCAATCAACAATTTAAAAATATTCAAGAAACGCCAATATTATTAAACAACCTCTCTAACTAATATATATAAATAATATTTTTTAACGTCATACTGAGAAGAATCAAAATATCAAAATCTTGTTGTTTGGACAATTATTGGAAAGAAATGTGAAAATTATTGTTTTGAGTGTGTTTAATGAAACTTACTTTTAAAAATATTAAATCATTATTTTGTTTATGTAATCCTGATTAGACAGGTAGACACACTTTATGTATGAGTCATGTTAATAGTTTTTTTTCATGTGTTGTTATTAGTTTTATAACAACAATATAAAAGAGCAGGCTAAGCCTTACCAACCATTAAATATAGTAAAACAACATTTTATCACACAGTTAGAAAATTCTCTGAAAAACTGGTTTAAACAATTTATTTCATTACTATTTTATCATATTCTTACAAAAGAGTCAAATAACCATAAAAAGATGGTATTTAATATGTTAACTGTGAGAAAAATCGTTTGTTAACTGTTTTCCCCTTATACGGTTAAACAACTAGTAATTTATTCGCACCAACTAAGCCCACGTTATGAATACACTTAGTTCCTTGCAGCTGTCGGCATATTATTACGCAGAGGTTTAATCTGTCAGTCTTATGACTGACTGAATGGTTGTTCGAATCCCTGAGCTGAAACAACAATTTTTTCATTCTTTCTTTCATCACAGGAAGAGTTTTCAGTGTTCTACATTCCCTAATAGGTGAATCCAGACTACTGGAATACGAAACTGTCATTCACGCACAGATAGCAACAACACAGAGCTGATTAACACAAAAAGTCTAGTAATTTCTATCTCTCACGATAGATGGCACCACCATTTAAACTAATTAAGGCACATTCCACGGTTCTATTTGGCAGAAACACAACACAACTAAAACCTGACTCCTATGTCCATTACCTAACAAAAAGCCTCCATACAACCTAACTCCAAGGTCCAGTTAAATTTCATTTTTACAGTTTTGAAACCATGGCAGATGTTAATGGTTACTAAACTATATAATTTTGCATTCGCGGTTTTGGTTACTGTACCAGTTATAAATGATTTCAAAGCCGTAGAAGTAAGGAATTGTTTCTAAGCGTAAACCTTACTGTTAATCGGATGGATAGTTTGCTGACAGTTGTTTGCTGTAATTTTAGAATGAAAATTTCAACAATGTAGTGTATTGCTGGTGAAATTTCAAGTATATTTGTTCGGTTAACGATTGAAATGTACATAAAAAGTGTGTTTTTACAACTTTTCACTAAAAATATTGAAACAAGATTTTGTTATTGTAATGTATTATTTAAAGTATTATTGCATGGTAATCATTTGAAGAGAATGTGAAAAGTGCTAACTATAACCTATTATTAAAAATATTAAAACAATATTTTGTTGGAATAAATATGAAAAGATGTGAACCATTGTTGCTTGTTTAACAATTGAAAAGAACATGAAGATGGTTTACTATAACTTATCATTTAAAATATTAAACAAAATAATGAAAGGTGAATAATGAAAGGTAAATAAAATAATGAAAGGTAAATAAAATAACCATATTCAGCGGGGAAATTAAAGCTTGAAAGCGCTTTTTTCCCTGAGAAATACATGAAAGGTGATCTGCAAGTTTCGCACTCTAACAGTTTAGAACCCCCCCCCCCCAAAAAAAAAATAACATTTAAAATTGAGAATAAGAGAATTGTTCTGAAAAAAATCACAGTTCTAAAACCGTTTTCTAAAAAGACAAATTGAGTTATTTTTTCGGTGAAAGTATCATCTATAAACTCTGATTCAAGCAATGCACATGAAAACACTTTTGAGGGAGTAAATCATTGTAGTTAGACGGTTGTCTATGAGTTTTTTCAATTTTAGAAGCTTGAGTTAGCATATTTCTTTCAGAAAACGCACTTTAGTATTATATTTAAGGGCTTTTTTAAAATACTATAATCGTTATGAAAATAATAAACGTTACTCTTAGATTAAATTTTGGTCGGGTCGGACAGATTTGGCTAAAATTTTGGCTATAAAGATGCAGTTTTAATGGTTTTGCGGAGTCAAATTTTAATTTAAATTAAAGTAGCCCTTTTTCTGAATAAATATGCATATTTTTTGATGTATTTGAATTTTTATGCCCCCCCCCCCAAATACGAAATAAAAATGGTGGTGTGGTCGCAATCTGAATGATATGGCCTCAATAGTCTAGTTGGAAGACTGGATGCAAGTTTTAGCCTTTTATGACTGTTTTATACTTCTTATGCATTTCGCTTTATATATGAAGTAATTTAAGTAAAAAAAATATTTTAGTAGCCATTTGTGAAAAATGTTTACCCAAAAACAATATCTAGCAAAAATTGCTTACCACTTTTATTAATTGGGTAGTTTCACTTCAAGAAGAAGATGATCACGGATACCCCCACATGTGACCTATGACGCCAGCGGCATATGATCATTTATAAGCAATATGGAGTGTTAAAGTCGAGTTAAGTTTCTCCACATTAGTTGGAATGTTGAATAACGTGAAATTTATTAAATACAGTGCCGTATATCAAATATAATTCTTTCTCGTCGGATGAAAAATTCAAATTTTCTTAAGCTAAGTAAGTTTAAGTAATAAAATTAAATCTTTAGCAAAATCATGAAATAGTTTTGAAAATACAATTTTTTCCTTTAAAAGAAAAACTTTTTAAAAAAATTTTACTTTTTAGGAACTATTTAATCGATTATAGTTAAAATTTTATTTTTTGCACGCTGAAAATTCACTCAACAACACGTGATTAATATATTACGAGAAATTTTATTGCAGTAGCCATTGCATTGTGGAAAAAACAATCACAATATAGTGAAAAAAATTCAAATATCTTATATTTATGAAGTAGAAATAATACCTTTTATCTGTTTTAGCAATGAGCTCTCCAAATTGCTTTAGAAAGTTTGGAACCATTACAATCAAGGTTTCAGTATCAGTAATAGGATCATTCAGAAGTCCATTCAAATATTTGAGCCAATCAATCTACAGAATATTAAATAATACACTTACAAAAAATATCTTTGAAAATATTAAAAAAAATTATTAATTTGTTTGTTAAGCAATTGAGCTGCAGCCAAATTGCTTGATGTGTTAATTTGATATAGTAACAGCCAGTGTCTAAAAAAATTAAGTTTCATGATTTCACTCTTACACCAGCAAATGCCGACGGTCAACATGGAAATGTTCGAAAACATCAATTAAATTACAAGATTTGTCTCTTACCCCAGTAAACGTCAACATTCAGAATGCAGTGATTTAAAAATTAGTTTATACGAATTTTTCTAATGAACTATTTTAGTCATGAAGCTTCTGTAAATAGACATTTTCCGCAGCAGGAGCAAAATAGTGATTGATGATAATGATTGATTTTCAAAAATACATGAATGTGAACTATTCACCAGGGAAAGATGACATTTAGCAAATTTTGAATTTACTTAAGTAACTTTTTAAAAAGGATTAAACACCAAATACAGGCTTCCCTAAGCATTTTAATTTCTTTTTTTGTTTTAGCTGATGAAAGTTTGAAAATAGGTCGATTATCTTGCAAAGGAGAAAGGAAAAAGTTAAAAATATCATATTACTGTAAGAATGGATGGCTTTTATTATATGAACATATGTCCATATTTGGAGCCCTTGGACTCAAAATAAGCATCTTTTACAATTATGCAAACAAATTCTTAAATAAGGGTAAAATTTTGCTCGGAGCCGGAAAAGAATATAATTTTTTTTCTCTTTCTTCTATGATCACAATGTTCTTCCTGTATCCAAAAACGGCACGCACGCTGTGTCATGTCTAACTGTTTTTCAATACACAATACAAGGCTCTTTTGAAGACAATGATAAGACACTTCAGCTGCTACAGTATTTATTACTTTTGTCATCGGTTTATGTGCGGTTGCTGGCAACTCAGTTTTCGATTAAGCAGCAGGTTGTTTTTGCAGATACAAGTTTAGGACCCTCTTAATGTCTATAATATGCCCGAGTGATCATTTTTATCTCATTGCAAATAGACAGTCATGGACAAAAATACAAAATTCACGTCGAGTCAATTTTGTAGATACGAATCTCACAAAAATTCTTTCAAAAGGGATTAATAATCATAAAAGTGTTTTCTAATATTAATAATTTGCTTATGTATCAAATTTAAAATAACTCTTGATACCCGCAATGTTGTTTTATTGTTTCGCTGTAATGTATTCAAGTGCAAAAATGAGAGACTCACTCTTATGACTTCTTCAACTCTTTTAAATTGCGTTAAATGCATATGCTGCCATCTATACTCAAACTTCTGAACTAAATATTTTTACAGCAATAGCCTTATTAGGTTCAATGGCCACATTTGGATCATTTATTTTAATTCAGAATCAGAAATATTTAAAAATAGAATCATAAAGAATACACTGTAAATCGTATAAATCACGACATAGCGTATGTTGCGATAATGCGCACATCAATGGTGCAATAATTCCCACGAATTGTAATTTTTTTTCTTCAAAACAACGGATTTAAAATTCGTAAGCTCGATTACTTCTTAATTTTAAACCCAATTTGATTAAGTAGGCATATAACATCTTTCAAATCCTACTTGTGACAAAACTTTTGTTGCAGTTTTTATCACAAATAGGTAATGCAATTATGCTTAATATTATGAAAGTCATATTTTACCTACAAAAATGGTGTAAATATGTTTTATTGGAGCTTTCACTCACACAAGACAGTTAAAATTTTCAATGGTCGAACAATTTATTCATAAGAAATTTTAATTTATTATTTTACTCTTTAATTTAAGTTGTTCCTTTTATTAAAAAGAGTTAGTCGGAAAAGTTAATTTATTTCATATTTTGCAACGTTTCAAGGAAATAGTTAACTACGTTAACTAGAATGTGATTCGGAAGCAGTGGAAGACTAAATTTGAGTTATCATGTTTGGTGAAAAATTAAACTTTTTTCATTGTCTCTGCATACAAAAATTAAATACATACATACAAAAATGTAATTAATTTTCTGAACAACTGCGTTATTGTCGATAATTTAATAAAATAAATTATGGGTGCACTGTAAAAAATACCCAAGTAAATATTTGGAATAAAATGAGATCATATGAAAATCTTTTAAATACCTGTTTTCGTTTTGTGGAAAAAAGATCAAGTCAATATGTATTCCTAATCATATACTTAATAATGTACGAAAAAATGATAAAGACATCTAGATCAATATAAATGACTGAAAAATACATGATTCTACTGCATATAAAGTAATATAAAATTGATTTACATAATGCTATAGATTATTTGTACGAACTATTTTAATTTAAAAATTTAAAAATTTTGAATGCTATTAAACCTTTTTTTTTATAAATTAATTGCTAGATAAAGTTTCATTGTAAAATAATCTTCTCCCATCAGTGCATTTCTAATATTTGAGCATTTAAATCAATGCTTTGATTCTTACTCAGAAGACAAATATTTAAAAAAAATAACGGTTTTAATTATGCTTTCAGATTGAATATTTTAAATTCGATTTTTTAAACTCATAAACGTCATATACAATGTCCGTGTTGCCCATACAAAGTTATAAAAAAAAATCTAATTTAAAATATTCAGCCTGTCTAACCATAATTTCAACCGTTAACCTAACGTTTAATAAACCGTTACTTTTGTGTACTTGTCTTCTAAGTAAGAAGGATAGAAATATACATGATTACATTATTATTTAGGTTAAGATTATGAACTATTATGATCGATGAAAATGTATTCAATGTTCTAAATAACTTTGAGAACAAAATGAATCAATTTTACCTGTGGAACCAATTCTCGTAATTGTGAAATAGTATATTTGTGGTACATAGTATCATAATCTCGTCTTTCCTCTCTTGGCAAGGAATACTAAAAAAAAGAATTTTCAGAGCATAATTAAAAAAGAAGATGAACTACAAATTTAATTTCTATACAAAATTGCTAAAAAGAAGCATTTTAATTATCCTTTAATTAAATGTAAAGATCGAAACACTTGCTGCTCTTAAGGATCAAGCCCGCGGTCGCAAATGCATGTCTGCACTTTCAAAAATTGATTCAACTTTGAACCATACTCTTAAAGTGCTAAATTGAACCTGGTCGCATTTGCATAGCTACACCTTCAAAATTGATTCAACGTTATGCCATAATAGCTACACGTAAGGTGATAACTGAACTTGGCCATATTAGAAAGTCTAAATTTCCAGTGTTAAGTCATAATACCATAAAAATTTTTGCTACTCATAAGACGTTAAATTGAACCGTGTTTCCGTTGAAGTTGAATCAAAATATCGTATAACGAAGTTTAACAAGGATTAATGTGCACGATACCATGGCACCAACTTTGTATTATTTTTCAGAAAATTTGAACGTCATTTTAGTTTAATATGCTTCAACACTTCTTATAATGCTTCTAATAGAGTGGTAATAACTGATATCTTACCCATTCAACTTACTATAGGTGTAAAGGCAATCTAATCAATTTTATCGTAAGCGTAGAGTGTTTAAAAAAATGATAGCTCACAATTCTATGTTGCTTAATTTTCAGTTATTTCAGAAATGAAAAAAAAAAAAAATTCTCAAATTTAAGTATATTTCCGAATATAAGCCCATCCGTGTATAAGACGAAGAATAAACAATTTATTTGGAAATTCACCCAAAATTCTAAACTCGCATGTAAGCTAACCCAAATACAGGCT